CGGACCCATCAACTAAGATTGGGCAGTGTAAAGTAGTGGATTCCGAAGGCACCGAACTTGAGATGGGGGTAGCGCTGGCGTGTCTACTTTCAGATCCTTCGATCGACCAGAAGTGCTTGGGGGATAACTCCTCGGTATGCACGATCGGGAATGAAACGGCTACGGGCCTACTAGTAACTATTTTGCATGCATCCATCGCACCCTCTCTCGTCTGGCAATATGAAGAGGGATTTTTATCAAGCAGCACCGGGTCAGGTAGTGAGCCGGAATCTGATTCCACCAAGTCCTGTGAGTCGGAATCAGGTTCCAGCTCAACTGAGTCTGAGTCCGGTATTCCTGGGGGTGATAACCCGGATGCCACAGTCCTGTCTAGGTCGTCGTTTTCTTTCTCTTTTGAGTTTGTTGTAACAGAAGAATCAGACGGTTTGGAAGTATTTAATGAGAACGATGTGGATGTGGTTTCCGAGTACTTTTTTGTGCCTTTGATTTATTGCTTAAATCAGGATTTTCAAAATTTTGATGAAAATGACAAGGAAGAAATTCCTCCGGTTTTGCAACGATTAATTGATCAAGAACAGGAAAGATTTGTTAAACCCTTAATGGACGAAATCACTACTGTGAATGTTGGTACTGAGAAGGACCTGCAGCTGGTCCAGATCGGGTCCATGTTGTCTTCGGAGGAACGCGAGCGCTTAGTCGCTTTATTAAAAGATTTCAAAGATGTTTTCGCGTGGTCCTACAAAGACATGCCTGGAATCGATCCTGAGATTGTACAGCACCGGATCCCACTTGATCCCGAGGCCCGCCCTGTCAAACAGAAGCTCAGAAGGATCCGCCCTGATTGGGCCATTAAGATTAAGGAAGAGGTCACCAAGCAAATCGACGCAGGCTTCCTGCTGGTATCTGAATATCCGACTTGGTTGGCCAACATTGTTCCGGTGCCGAAGAAGGACGGCAGAATTCGGGTATGTGTAGACTTCAGAGATTTGAACAGAGCTAGTCCGAAGGACGACTTTCCGTTGCCGCACATTGATGAATTGGTAGATTTCACGGCAGGACATGCCTTGCTTTCGTTTATGGATGGCTTCTCAGGCTATAATCAGATAGTAATGGCACCCGAAGACCGGGAAAAGATTGCGTTCACTTCCCCGTGGGGTACATATTGCTACAGAGTGATGCCATTTGGGTTGAAGAATGCTGGAGCTACTTATCTACGGGCAGCGACCACAATATTGCATGATATGATCCATAAAGAGGTTGAGGTGTACGTGGACATTGTCAAGTCCAAAGAAAGAGAGGGGCACTACACCGCCTTACAAAAGTTCTTTCAAAGGATCAGAGAGTTTCGGCTGCGGTTGAATCCTCAGAAGTGTACATTCGGTGCTACAGCGGGAAAAATGCTAGGGTTTCTGATTACCCAAAGGGGCATCGAAGTCGACCCTTCCAAAATCAAGGCCATCTTAGAAATGCCACCACCAATGACTGAAAAAGAGGTGCGAGGCTTTCTAGGTAAAGTGCAATTCATAAGACGGTTTATTTCAAAACTAACCTTGACTTGTGAACCACTTTTTGGTCTCCTGAAGAAAGGAAAGAAATTCCAATGGGACGACCGATGTCAAGCAGCTTTTGAACAGATCAAAGAATATTTACAGAACCCGCCCGTGTTGTCACCACCAGAGCCAGGGAAATCATTAATATTGTACCTTTCAGTAACTGAGACTACCATGGGCTGCATGCTCGCACAAGAGTCAGAGGACAGAGTGGAAAGGGCCATCTACTATCTGAGCAACAAGATGCTGGATTACGAGACCCGCTATACACCACTGGAGAAGGCTTGTTTGGCCTTGGTATGGGCTACCAGGAAACTGCGGCACTACCTGTTAGCTCACTCTGTAATGTTGGTTTCACGTTTGGATCCCATCAAATATCTTTTAGAAACCGGCACTTACGGGTAGGCTAGCTCGCTGGCTGCTGTTGGTTTCTGAATTTGATCTGAAGTATGTAACACGCAAGTCAGTAAAAGGAAGAGCAGTAGCGGAGTTCCTTGCCGACCACCCGGTTGAAGGGGATGAAGCGGTTGAGTACCTATTCCCAGATGAAGCCATTCTGCACATCGAAGATAAAACTTGGACGATGTACTTTGATGGAGCGTTGAACCAGTACGGGTATGGGATAGGTGTGTTGCTGATAGCGCTGGACGATTCCCGTATCCCTTTAGCATTCAAGCTCCGGTTCAAAGTCTCGAACAATGAAGCAGAATATGAGGCATGTATTGCTGGCCTAGAAGCAGCCCTAGAACTAGGGGCAAGACGGTTGGACGTCATTGGGGACTCGAACCTTGTTGTATCTCAAGCAAAAGGAGACTGGAAAGTCAAAGAGGAAAAGATGATAATTTACCACCAAACCTTGGATTTGTCAATTCCTCGATTTGAGAAGCTAAATTTCACCCACCTAGTAAGAGAGAACAACAGGTTTGCAATTCACAAACAACTCTATCTTCCATGATAGACATCTCGTCCGGGGTCCGGATGCGTCCAGTCATTATTGACCAGAAGTTTGCGCCAGCATACTGTAACAGCGCCCGCGGGGGGCCTCGCTATTACAGTTCGGACTCGATTTGTGTCACGGTTCTTAATCTGAACCAAAGAGTCCAAATCTGGCAAATCGTTTTGAGAAACTGATTTTTGAAAAAGTAGTGCCAAACATGGACTGCTTTGCCAGATACAGAGTCGCCACCTAAATATTTTAAAATGGGGGAATTTAGGAAACCCTGACTCGGTGCCGAAGGCCACATGTCCGTCATCACCGAAGTTGTCTCGGCTCGGGAGCTTGGGTACGATCGGGGAAGGTCAGCTATGAGCACCCCCTTTTCTTTAATATACAATGACTAAATGATTTGTTGTCGTCAAAAATTCATCTAAATGTGTCATTTTTGTGCAACTAAATCAGTTTTTGTCGGCAAATGACATTATACGCCGACTAAATGAAGAATTAGTAGCATAAAATGACAAAAAACACCGATTTAATGATAAATATCGACAACTTCACAGTACAAGGATAAAAGGTGTTATTTGATTAGTTTAAAGTATACAATTTACACTTGGTGATTAAGAAAATTCATTCAATTTTGGCATACGTTAGTTATGATTTATATAGTTGGGGAGAGAAATGTATGTTTTGCTGTGTAGGCCAAGTGAATGAATCTTATAATAATATGTTAATTCATTGTACCTTATCAAATATGTAAGAGATAATAAACAATTAGCAAATCATTGGTAAGAGGTGGAATCTTCAGACGACGTATTTGAAATCCAAGTTTACAATTATTTTTTTGTTATGCTAATTAATGCTTTCTTGTAGTCGAAACGAAACAACCTCTTCCTCAAGTAGAGCCGGTTCTCAATGCTCTTTGTCATGAACTTATCTTCCAGCGCCTTCCAAAGCTTCTTCGCAATATCATATTCTGTAAAGGCATACTTCTCCTCTTTTGCAAGGCAAAGTCGGATGGAACTACAGGCCAGGAGATTCACCCTCTCCCATTCTATCTCGTCCATGTCATCTGGTTTGTCTCCCAGAGTGAAGTGCAGGTTCATTTGGACAAGCATATCCTTAACTTCGCATCTCCACATGCCGAAGTTGCTGCTTCCATCGAACTTCTCTACCTCGAACTTGGCATGGGACACCGGGGTCCAATGCCTAGAAGTGCTTGTACTGGTTGGATTACTTACGGACTCGGTTGATCTAGAGTCTGCCATTTTTTAGAAACTTCAAATCACAAAACTGACCGTACAGATGTGTCCGGAATACTCCAAATAGTTGGGAAGCACTATTGGATCGTCAAAAACGGACTCCGAATGGCTCCGATCTGGCAAAAACACTTTGGACGGGTCAGATCTGCAGAATCTGGTGCGCTGAGATGCACCGGATAATTTCTCCCGTCAACGGCTCGGTCAACGGCTCGGTCAACGGCGCAGGCGGCGCGGTCAACGGAGGATCGGCGGCGCGGTCAACGGCTTGACGGCTGGTCAACGCGGCTGGTCAGCGGCTCAGGCTGACTGGGCTGACACGTGGCTGACACGTGTCTGACACGTGGCCTGACTGTCGGACGCGTGGCGATGACGTTTCGGATGACGTGGCGATGACGCGGCACTGACGTGGCGCCACGTGGCTCGCCTTCTTCCTGGAGACGCGCGTGTGGCGCGTGGGAGCGACTGGGATCACGCGCCGGTTACTGCACGGCGCGTGTAGGCGCGTGCCGAGACTGTGACTGACGCGCTTTCTTCAGAGAGCGCGTGAGAGCGCGTGTGGAGGCTTACGCGCTTTGTTCAGAGAGCGCGTGAGGGCGCGTGTGAAAGCTTCTGGGCTCTGTTTTTGCTGTTTTGGACTCCTCTCGGGGAGTTCTTCCTCCTGGTATGGTCAAAAGTGAAATTTGAGCACTTCGAAATCTGGGCACTTTCGGGAAAAATTCGATTTTTCGCAACCCGAGCTCTGATACCAATTGTTGAGGATTGGGGGCACACCAGGGAACTCAAACAAGCAATAACACACAAGTTTTAACGTGGTTCGGCAAGTCGCCTACGTCCACGGACAGCGGATTCACTATATTGAACAAAATGGTAAGAATTACACACTCTCTGTAATTCTCTCTCTCTTTGCTCTCAACTCACACCTCTCAGCTCCAATTCTGATGTCAATATCCTCTCCCTCCCGTCTCTATTTATACACAAAGGAGTAGGTGGGAGAGCCTTCATTCTTGACTTTTGACATGGTTGGTGGCCTTCCATTGTTGACATGAGGATCACCCTTTTCACATGGGGTGACCGCCAGAATCTGTAGCCAATATTCAACAGACACCACTTCACTATGCTGCGCGGTTCGGTCATGTACAAAGGGCTAAACAGCTACTAGACTCGGATAAATCCATTGCATACCTTATTGCAGACCAAGATGATAATAAAACAGCTCTTCATGTAACAGCTAGTCAAGGACATGTTACTGTAATGCAAGAGCTTATATCACAATGTCCTGATTGTTGGGAGATGGTTAATCATAAAGGCCAAAATATTCTTCATGTTGCAGTGGAGAATGAGAAAAAGATGGTGATTAAATTCATCTTAAAAAATTATTCACTCAGTGGCCTTATAAATCAGAAAGATGTCGATGGGAACACCCCTCTCCACCTCATTGCTACTGGTAGATTACTTGCAATCGACCTCATAGACCACCGAAAAGCAGATAAGGTTGTCTTTAACAAAGCAATCTGGACTCCCCTTGACATATCAACATATTCTGAAACTGCAGCTGTACAAAAGGTACATCGATGTCAACCCTCAATCCTATCCAGACTGCATAGTCACAGAAGCCTTGTACACACGACTGCAGGGCTGCTTTTTACTTTAATTCACTAAAGTTATTATTTAGATACAATGTTTTTCTAATTGATTGAAGAATGATTGTTGCAGGTTCTCATAAAAGAAGAATTGGAAGCAGCTGGTGCTACACTAGGTTTGCGAAATGTAATTAGCAAAGATAACGAGGTTTTAGCAAACGAGAAGAAAGAACGCGCTGAATTTAAAAAGTCGATACCCATTGACATCAGGAAAGCAGGAGACACCCATTTGATAGTGGCTAAGCAAAGATAATAAGGTTTTAGCAAACAAGAAGAAAGAACGCGCTGAATTTAAAAAGTCGATACCCATTGACATCAGGAAAGCAGGAGACACCCATTTGATAGTGGCTACACTCATAGCAACTGCGACTTTTGCAGCTGGTTTCACCATGCCAGGTGGCTACAACAGCAACGATGGCCCAAATCAAGGCATGGCGATTCTAACAAGAGAAGCAGCTTTCAAAGCTTTTGTCATAATAGATTCCATGGCCATGATATTATCCACTTGTGCTGTTTTGGTTTATTTTGCTTCAGCTGATTATAGGTATCAAACTAAACTTCTGTATCGCTATTCTCTTGCCGCTGGTCTTCTACAGATTGCAGCAGGAGCAATGGTATTTGTTGGGGATCGGGGGCATACCAGGAAACACAACCAAGCAATAACACAAGATTTTTAACGTGGTTCGGCAAATCGCCTACGTCCACGGGCAGCGGATTTCACTATATTGAAAGAAATGCAAAGATTACAATGAAGACACACTCTCAGACTGTTTTTTCTCTATCTTTCAAACCTCCCCTCAACCTCTCCATTTATACACTGAAGATGGAGCAAGCTGGAGGGCTTGGCTAACACATGGCCAGCTCATTCTCCACACCTTTAGTGAGTTGGATACTGCCCCACCATGTGGATAGCCAGGAGAGTTGATGCCATCCTTCCCCACCATGTGGCTGCCACCCTATGATCTCATGGGGTGATCTCTAACAAATCACCCCCTCAACCCATGTAAGTAGTTCGGCTGAATCTTTAGCCCAATCTTCAACAAATCTCCACCTTGGCGAGGATTCTCTTATCTAACATAGTGATCGATCAACACTGCCATGCACCCGAAGGTGCTCAGTTCGGAGAGATGTTGACCAAGTCCAAACAATGTTGGAACTTGATCCCAGAAACCACTTTTGTGAGCATATCGGCCGGATTATCTGCAGTACTAATCTTTTGAAGCAGAATATCCCCTTCATTCACAATTTCTCGGATAAAATGGAAACAGACATTAATGTGCTTGGTGCGGGAATGATGAACCTGGTTCTTTGCCAAACAAATGGCTCTCTGACTGTCACAGTACACCTCAACGTGCTTCTGAACAATACCCAAGTCCTCAATCAATCCATGTAGCCAAATAGCTTCCTTCAAGGCTTCCATTACCATGTACTCTGCCTTTATAGTAGACAAAGCCACCGTTGACTGAAGCGTTGACCTCCAACTCACTGGCCCTTTTGCAAGCGTAAATAAATACCCTGTTGTTGATCGGCGTTTGTCCAAGTCACCAGCATAATCTGAGTCCACATATCCAACCAAATTCTTCCCAAGTCAGTTATCTCTCTTGAACTTCAATCCCAGATTAATCGTGCCATGTATGTACCTTAGGATCCATTTCACTGCCTGCCAGTGATCTTTGCCTGGATCATGCATATACCTGCTTACCATAGTCACAGCATGTGAGATGTCAGGCCTTGTACAAACCATAGCATACATTAATGCACCAACTGCATTTGCATATGGAACTTGTGTCATATGCTTCCGTTCTTCTTCTGTGCGTGGAGACATCGAAGCACGGAGCTTGAAATGAGGAGCCAATGGTGTACTCACAGCTTTTGTTTTCCCATTGATGCTAAATCTGTCTGACACCTTTTTCAAGTATTGAGTTTGTGTCAGATGAACCGTGCCCTTCTTCTTGTCTCTCTTGATCTCCATGCCAAGAATTTTCTTTACTTCTCCCAAATCCTTCATTTCAAACTCTCTTGCTAACTGTGCCTTGAGTTTGTCAATCTCATCATTGCTCTTTGATGCAATTAACATATCATCTACATATAAGAGCAAATAGATAAAGGACCCATCTGGAAGCTTACGGAAATATACACAATGATCAAATTGACTTCTTGTGTATTCTTTCTCTATCATGAACCGATCAAATCTTTTGTACCACTATCTCGGGGATTGCTTCAATCCGTACAACTATTTGTTCAGCTTACAGGCCCAATTCTCTTTTCCAGCAACTTTTGAAACCATCTGGCTGGGACATGTATATCTCCTCTTCAAGATCTCCATGTAAAAATGCAATTTTGACATCGAGTTGGGCGAGCTCAAGATTAAACTGTGCAACCAAAGCTAGCAAGATACGAATAGACGTGTGCTTCACAATAGGTGAGAATACCTCATTGTAGTCTATTCCTTCCTTTTGGGCATAGCCTTTAGCTACCAATCTGGCTTTGAATCTGATGTTGTCTTTGCCTGGGATGCCTTCCTTCTTGGTGTAAACCCACTTGCACCCAATTGCTTTCTTTCCCTTTGGAAGTTGCACCAACTCCCAAGTCTGGTTTTTGTGAAGTGACCCGATCTCTTCATCCATAGCCTCCTTCCAATTAACACTTTCTGCATTCTGCACGGCTTCTTTGAAAGTGCAAGGAACATTGTCTTCAATGATTGGAAGTGCATAGGCTACCATATTGGTCATCCAACCAGGTTGCTTAGTAACCCTTTTTTCTTTCCTGATTTGTAATGGGTTCTAATTGTTGTGGGGCCTTTGGATCTTCATTTTCATCTGAACTCTCTTCAGAGCTATCCACTGAGACTTCTTCATGATGGTTGATTGGCTTAATAGTCTTTGCTGGAGTCTCAAACTCCACCTGCACTGACTTCTTCAATGCTTCATCATTTTCTTGAGGATTTGGTTGCTTCAGCATTATAGACTCATCAAAGGTAACGTTTCTTCTAGTGACAACTTTCTTTGATTTAGGGCACCAGAGTCTGTATCCCTTGACACCGTCACTAAAGCCTAAGAAGACAACTTTCTTGGCTCTAGGATCCAACTTAGATTCTGTAACATGAAAATAGGCTGGACATCCGAAGATACATAGCTGATCACAATCAGTAGCTTGCACTCCAGACCATACCTCCATGGGATTCTTGCCATCTAGTGCTGCAGTAGGTAGTCGGTTAACAAGATGACGAGCATAGTTCAATGCCTCGTCCCAAAATGCCTTGCTCAATCCAGAATGTGACAGCATACACCGGACTTTCTCCACCAAAGTGCGATTCATGCGTTCTGCAACTCCATTTTGCTGCGGTGTTCCAGGAACTGTGAAATGTCTCACTATCTCTTCATTCTGGAATACCTCAAAGAAGGGATCTGATGTGTATTCCCCGCCATTGTCAGATCTGAGCTTCTTGATATTTCTGCCTATCTGGGTCTCAATCATTTTCTTCCAAATAAGAAAGATTTCTAATACTTCATCTTTATGCTTCATTGTGTAAACCCAAACTCTTCTTGAGAAATCATCAATGAACGACACAAAGTAGTGTTTACCTCACAACGAAGCATTCTTGGAAGGACCCCATACATCGGTGTGAACATAGTCTAGAATCCCTTTGGTACGATGAATAGCAGTACCAAACTTGATTCTTGTTTGCTTGCCCAGTACACAATGCTCGCAGAACTCAAGCTTCCCTGTTTTGGCGCCTTTCAACAGGCCTTGCTTTACCAACCCTTGTAAAGCCTTCTCACCGACATGCCCTAGGCACATGTACCAAAGTCTGGAAGTGTCTGATACATCATCTTCTGAGCTGGTGGAGACAGCCACTCTCTCTGCGACTGTAGAGTCGTCTAGGAAATATAAATTTCCCTTTCGAGTACCCTTCATTGGAACAAATGCTCCTCGAATAACTTTGAGGACTCCACCTTCCACAATTACTCTGTAACCTTTGGAGTCTAAAACTCCCACTAAGATGAGATTCTTCGTCAAATCTGGTACATACCAAACATCTTCAAGAATTCTGATTGTTCCATCATGCATCTTCAGTCGAATTGTTCCAATCCCCTTTGTCAAGCTTGGTCGTTGCCCATCAGTACAACTCCTCCATCGAACTCTCATAAGCTCAAGAACCACTGCTTGTTAGGACACATGTGGTAGGAACATCCGAAATCTAGAATCCATTCATCAGACTGGCCATATGATAAAACTGTGAAGGCTGATCCTTCACCATTATCTCTATCTCGTGCAATGTTCACATTTTCTTCTTTCTTGTCTTTATTGGGACAATCTTTTGCGTAATGACCCTTCTGGCGACAAGCAGCACACTCGTCTTTTGCAAGACGTCTTCTATCTGATGATTTCCCTTTGGATTTTGAGCGAGACTTTCCTCGCCCTGTATATCTTCTGTTATTCGTCCTGCCTCTGACTGTCAATGTCTCGGATGTTGAGTCCCTATTTGCAGATTTATCTTTCCTTCTGAACTCATTATTTACCAAGGCGTTTGCAACATCAACATACTTGATCTTTTCTTTACCGTACAGTAAAGTGGTGGTGAGATGATCATATGTGTCAGGCAAGGAATTCAACAGTAACAGTGCTTTATCTTCATCACTAATGTGATCATCCAAGTTTTTTAAGTTGGTAAGAATTTTGTTGAAATTGTTTAGGTGTTCGTTCATCGAAATACCTTTCTTATAGTCGAACGAAACAACCTCTTCTTCAAGTAGAGCCAGTTCTCAATGCTCTTTGTCATGAACTTGTTTTCCAGCGCCTTCCAAAGCTCCTTCGCAATATCATATTCTGTGAAGGCATACTTCTCCTCTTTTGCAAGGCAAAGTCGGATGGAACTGCAGGCCAAGAGATTCACTTTCTCCCATTCTATCCCATCCAGGTCATCTATTTTGTCTCCCAGAGTGAAGTGCAGGTTCATCTGGACAACTATATCTTTAACTTCGCATCTCCACATGCTGAAGTTGCTGCTTCCATCAAACTTTTCTATCTCAAACTTAGCATGGGACACCGGGGTCTAATACCTAGAGTTGTTTATAGCTGCGGGCTGCTTGTAGACTCGGCTAATCTCCTCTCTGTAGATTCTACCATTTAGACTATTTTTTTTTAGAAACTCCAATTCAGAAAACTAACTATACAGATGTGTCCGGAATACTCCAAATAGTTGGAAAGTACTATTGGATCATCAGAAACGGATTCCGAATGACTCAGATCAGGCTAAAACAGTTTGGACGGTTCAGATCTGCAGAATCTGGTACATCTGAGATGCATCGGATAATTACTCTGGCACGGAGAGTCAATTGGCGCGGTCAATGGCGTGGTCAACGGCGCGACTTCTGGCGTGGCGCGGCGCGGCTCAGCGGCGCAGCATGACTCGCTGGTCAACAGCTTAGTCAACGGGGCAGCTTCGGCGCGGCGCGGCTTGACTCGACTTTAGCAGCTCAGTCAACAGTCAAAGGAAGATGACGTGTCTGCCACGTGGTCGATGACATGTCTGACACGTGGCAACCTACTGACTCGGCGGATGACGTGGCAGCTGACGTGGCGGATGACAGGTGGCCTACTCGGATGTCGTGGCGCTGACCTAGCAGCCACTTATGCACTGAGTTAACGCTGAGTTGGCGCATGACGTGGAGGT